AAACTGACAGAGAGTTGAGGTAGACAACCACAGACAGTAATTTTTTTCATCAATGACACAAAAACCCAATCAAAACTAATCTGCAAAGACTCCTTTGAAATAAATTAAAAAAAAAAAAAAAGATGGAAATTGGCTAAAAGCAGCAAAAAGCAGGCTTTACACCAGGTTTTTAAATGGACTGATGCAAGCACACTGTAATTGAAGAAACTGGGCATAATAGTGCAATTCATCTGTCATTTCAAAGACTAACACTAAATTAGAAGTCAGGTAATGCTGCTGTACAGTGTCAACACTGAAGATGACCATTCATTTTAGAGAAAGTACAGGCAAATACTCATATATTTGTTGTTTTATAATAATGTTGCATTTTAAAGCAAGATGCCTTGACTCAATACTTTCAGATGAGTATCACATGGCACAACTGATTTGCTTCTTGTCTTGTGAAGTTTCTATGATTCATAATCAAAGAAAAGAGTGTAAGTTCATAAAATATTCTGTGATCAAATCACCTAAATAAGAATTCTACAAATTGAACATTAATCCCATGCACAAGAAATGAACTTCACAATACCTTTTTTTTGGCTGACTGTATGTACCTTTTACAAGCAACTTCACCATCAGTACAGAGGCACCAAGAACTGAATTTAATAGCATACACACAATAGCATTTTAGGTCAGATGTGAAATGTGCTTTTGAAGCCAATTTCCAGATCACCCTTACTGCTCTCGTTCATACTGTGCAGCCCCTCCAGAACAGGCACCTTCTTTTGTATGAAACTAACCTAGAAAATACAATCCAGGAGAACACCTAATGAACCACAACTAACATTCAGTCCACAGGACCAGGCCAGAACTTTATCAAAGGAAATCTTCTGACATACATATACAGGGTGGATGGCAGCTCCTCAGCATCACTTGTGTTGTGTCATACTACTTGCTAATACAAACACCAATGCACATGCAACTGAGCCACAAGCTCATGCAGCTGAGTCAAGTGAAAAATAACTTGACAAAACCCCCTAACTTTTGGCTGAACGAGCTCCCTGGAATCAGCTCACTGTCTGGTCAAACGAACGTCAGTGCCAGCATAAGGCAGCTCCATCTTCTAATGGTTTAAGCTACCATGAAACCATGCTGAATCACAATGGACATATCCAATCGCTCTAGAAAAAGCAAAGTTCTCCTCTCTCCCCTCCATCCACAAATGGTTTTCCTGCCTCCTTCTCTGTGCCAGCACTGACATTCATTCAACCCCACTGTTAGCTGATACAGAGTTAAAATCAACAAAAACCTGTGACTAATCTTCTGCCTGCACAGCCCCCACTACCAGCATACAAGAGCATTGGAGAGGCACTAGCTTCTTTGCAAGAAGCACATGCAGGAGCACATGGCTGAGGGAAGGGGGAAGACTGAACTACCTCCTTCAGTGGCAACTCACCATTAGATTGGTTTAGCTGCAATTTGAAACCACACCCTCAAAGCAATTTGAAGACTCATGCAACTGTTGTCAAAGTAGCTGGACTTGTTACCCTGATACACACACTTTTATTCACTGTTTTATGCAAATCTTCTAACTTAATGCTAATTTTTAAAAAGTGCATTAAAAAGCAGAAATTTGGATTAATAAAGACTGGTCTTCTCACACACAGAGTTAAGACTGTAACACCTCTGGTGAGGTTTTTTTTTTCTGGTAATAAGGCTGTCCTTTTGCAGATGTGTACTAAGTGAACATACAGCTTTTCTTTTCCAGGGTTTTACCTGCTGCAAGACCGTTATCTCACATAAACATAACACTCTGCAGGGAAGGTTGCATGTATATCCAGCCTTTAAACAACAGATTTGCAAGCAAAACAAGTTATGGGTCTAAAAATGCAACTGTCACACATTTTTATTTCCAACAGAATTCAATTCTGAATTATTGAAAGGCATCTACAGACCTGTACTACTGAAGAGGAAAAACTTCAAGGTAGTTCCTCAGGACTACTTGGTCCCCATTAGTTTGAAAAGCGGTAATTTTGTATGACATTTTCCACACCTACAAACGTACTTAGCAGTCACATGACTAGTGCTACGCTTGCATGCCAGGATTATGTAAGAATTGGGTAACTGAATCAAGCTCCTTTCCCTGCAACTATCAGGTGCTTCAAATGAACAGGTAAGAACAGAGCACCATGTGGTCAAAAGAAAATTACATCCCCTTCACAAGGTTCCCTTATTTCTTAAACTGTATCATCCTGAGGTTTCAGTTACATAGCTACAGCTTCCAAAGCATCACATGCATTTTCCCTCCAAAGAATCCCCATCTAAAGCCTGTGTTAACCTGAGGTACAGCATACTTCCAAGGAGAACATAAAGTAACTAGACAACTGGATTCTCTCACTCAGAAGTACAACGTACTTTGCAGGTAACCAAAAGTGACTGCACAAGATATTCGTAATGGGTCAAACTGCTAAGGGCATTTTGACTTTCTGTGTATTATTTACAGTCTCATTCCTCAGGCAATCTAATACCTTGTTTGCCATTTTAACTGCAAGGTTTTCCTTGAGATCACTACAGTGATAAGCCAGGTCTGCTTCTTGAGTTAATTTATTTAGAACCCATGGAATGATGCCTGAGTAATTTTTCTTCTTGATGAGATCTACTTTGCAAAAAAACAGATGACCTCCTCTGCAACAGGTAAGGATATAAACTGTTGCCACTTGTTTTCAAAATTCCAAGTACTTCCAAGTCTTTCCAGGTTCTTACACTAAATCCCTGCAAAAAAAAAAAAACAAACCTCTAGCACTAGCCTGTTTTGCCTATACAGCTATCCAGACAAGTTTTACGGAAAAGAAATTTTAGATGCAACAAATATGTAAATACTCACTTTCCTGGGATGATTCTTCTGAAATTGGTTGGCCACACACAAAAAGAAACAGTGGGTGGCCCTTGAGAAACCTCACCCGTAATACTGAGCGTGCAGACTCTCCTACCATTAAGTCCAGTCTAGCAAGTCATCAAATAAGAGATTACTAGTTTTACCAGTAAGAAGCACTTCTTATTCAGCTCTCCCCCACTTTGTTGCTTCTTAAACTAATTTTAACTAACCAAGTCGCTCTTAGGAGACCAAAACACATTAACAGTAACCCTAGTCAAGCGTAAGTACTCTGAAATCTGGTACTAAACTGCAGAACACTGAAATTTGTGTACTGTGTTTCTGGCTACAGTAACTTTAATGCTTTGTTAAAAGGCCTGCTTATCTCACTAGGCACTAGGCTGAGGATGAAACTGCATAAAAGGCAGCATGGCCTTTTAGATAGTTTTACCCACAGCAGCTCAAAACACTACTTAAACTTTAAAGCACTGAACAATGACAGAGGGAACTGCAGAAGCAGCAAATTATTACAAATAGCTGTTCATAACAACGGTTCACTGGGAATACTTTCCTCAAATAGTTACACAACACGCATTAGAGCAGATTTTCCCTTTTTGTATGTCTCTAGCTCTGCAGTACTGCTACACCTTTTAGATGTAACCTGGCCAAGGAAGTAAATGCTAAAAACTGTGCACAGACATATTACAAGTATGGAGCCGTGCCGTTCTTAACACTGCGTTTTTCATTGTTAGAAATGTTTTGATGACTACAGGTAAGTTAATACCTGCTGGGAACCGATGTCCAAAAAAGCCTGCACGCCTTAGGTGAAGTGGGCCAGTGTCAGTGGCACCCAAGGACACAAACCCAGATTTCCTTCTGTGTTGCTCTTCATCAGCAGACTGTGGGATGAATCTCCCCCGCATCCCCGAAACGCTTTGGGGTTCTCATGTTTTGGATGGCCTCTGCCGACACGAAGCAAACAAGGCAGTTTCCTACCAGTTGCGGGACACCATCAGCACAGATTATCCGCAGCCCCTTCCCAGCCGCGTAGTCAGAGGCCCCACAAGTACACAGCGGGGGGCGGGGGGGCCTGCTGCAGGCGTGCTCAGCGCAGCAACTCCTGCACCCCCCGCCCTTCCCTCTCCGCCGGAGAGGCTCAGCCTTCCCCGCCTGCCCGGGCTCAGGTGGCCGGTTCCTGGACCGGACAATAGCTCCCGGCGAGTCCCGCTCCGGCCTGGCCC